TCAATTACATTTTAGATTTGATGAAATACAGTTTAAGGTAACCTCGCTCTATTGCTATGCAGTAACACAAAATTATAAAAATTACCTACTTTTTGTTTTAGAATTAAGCACTAAGTGATGAAGAAAGGAAAAATATTTATAACTACCATCTGCCAGGCACATAGTTTCATGTAGTATTCACAGTACTTCTAGTATCGGTATCCCCAGTTTTCAATAATAGATGAAGAAACAGACATGATTAACTTGCCAAAAGGTCAAGTAGCCAAGCTAGCATTTGAACTCCCATCTGTCTAATGCCAAAGTATGTGCTGCTTAAACTATTTCAGACTGCTTCTGAATAAACTGTTCAGGTAAGAGTGCTCCAGAGACCTTTTAAATTCTTAGCCACAATTCTGTAAGCCATGTGAAGTAACTTACCTTTAGGGAAGATCTTCCATTTCCCTTTGGTCTGAAAGATGCAGATATTTAATTAAATATTATACTATGGTTCTATTTTTTTTTAATACACTGGAAGTAACTTTTAAAAGCTGCTACATTTTTATTGCTAAGAAATTATTGTACTTCTTTTTAAATATATGCTAAAGGGGAGCCCACACTTAAATTCTCTTTAATTTGCTCAACCGGAGGATATAATTTAAAGAAATTGGGGTTTACCAAGATTTTCCATTTGTCCTCCCACACAGCCTTGGCTTGATAATAAGCACACAGTATTTGGACGAGTGACTAAAGGAATGGAAGTTGTACAGAGGATCTCCAACGTCAAAGTCAATCCCAAAACAGATAAGCCCTATGAGGATGTCAGCATCATAAATATTACTGTCAAGTAAAATAAGATTTGTTTTAATGTACTTGCAAATAAAAATGCAAATTAAACAGATTATTTTACATTAGGGAGCTTAGGACTTGCTGAATATACAGATCATGTTTCAAAGATACAGTATTATATTTTTGTATTTTTAATTAAAGGCTATTTTTTAAAAATTACCTTTGACTTTTCTTGCAATATTTCTAATCCTGGGAGGTGATAAATTGAAATGGACTAAACTCAGGCAAACAGCATTCATTATAGGTAATTGCTAATGAGCCTCAAATTAAATATTAAATAATTAACGACACTCTCCCCCACCCCCTTTCCACATGGTTTTCTTTTCACTGTCAACCACAATCCAAAAATAGGTGAGCACAATACAGTGAGATCTTTTCAGACATCAAGACCACATTCACATAACTTTTATTATAGTATACTGCTATAATTATTCTAATTTTATTGTTGTTAATCTCTTACTGTGCCTAATTTATAAATTAAACCTTATCATAGATATATATATAGGAAAAAACAATATATATGGGGTTTAGTATCATCTGAAGTTTCAAGCATCCACTGGAGGTCTTAGAAGGTATCCTGTGCAATGACAACCCTATTAAATGACGACAGTGGTACACACCTGTGCTTTACTTTTTGAATACATGCCAGATACTCTGCCCTTATGTTTAGAGGAGTGCAGATCCCTCCTCCAAGAAAAAATACTAGGATCTGATATTATATGTCATTTCCTTTGTTTTGCAAGGTTTTAATGCCAAATATTTTAGTCTTTTGATAATTGTTTAGTAAGTAGTGGTAAGTAAAGCCTCAATAAACAAGTTACTTTGGTTAAAGTGTTATATTCCTTAATAATTATGAAATATTCTTTCAAATGAAAGATTCAGAATAAGTGAATACCCGAGTCCTTGGTTTATTGTATGCAGGTTGATTATTCTTTCAGATTATTTTTCTAACATAGGTAAACAGTTTTTTCTGTCCTCAAGTTATATCTTTAGAAAATATACCATTAAGAAGTATACATAAAAATTTTGCTATCTAACAATGGAGAGATTAGTAGAAATTGGAGCAGTAAAATAATATAAGCACAAATTCTTATACTGATTTCTTCACTTAAGCTTATAACTTAGTTCGTAACTATTAAGACCCACTGCTTCGATTCCAGAAAGACTCTTTCAGAAACTTACAGGAAGAACATGCTCAACAGACCTGTGTAGGGAATTTATATTCTGAAGTTTTAAATCTGCTTAAACTTTTCCTTCTATTGATCAGCAGGATTCTTTCCTTTATTTATTTTGTGCTACAAACTTGTGAAATAGGAGATTATGCCAGATTGTGCTCCTGTAATGTATGCTCCTTTTTAAAAGTAGAACTTAAAGTTGGACATGAAAGTGACTTTTCAATGTGACATTTACTGTTTCTTTCTAATTTTAGTTGTTTAGACTTACCTACCTAGCTATTCATTCCTAAAAATTTAATCTAAATTTTTGGTAATATTGCCACCAAGTGGTGATGATGCCTCATTCCCCAACAAATACAATTATTTTGCTTTGAGTGAAAACCATATTTGACTAATGAATTTTTCCATTAATGCTAAAAACTTAAGTGGCAGACCTAAAAACATACATTGTCCATGTCTTTTTAAAAGCATGTTTTAAGTTATCAGGATATAATTTCATTCTTACTCATTAGTCCTTTTCATCCTTTATTCTTTTAGGGAAGAATACAGCTGTCTTCTTCCCTGCTACCACTTTGCCAGTTGAGAAGTATCCTAATGTTACATAAAAAGCCTTTCTCTTAGAAGTATTAGTTCATGAGCTATGGCTAAGTTTTGCAAGCCATTTTCTAAAATGATCATTTAAAATGCTGTGTTTTCTTATGAAACAAGTTTACATTTAAAATTTAAAAGGCAGTAACAAAGTTTCACTTTGTTAATGTAAAACTTTAGCTCCGCCTTCAAAACACTATGGTTATATTACTTATTTAAATATGGCCTGCACATCACTTCTCGGCCTTTTGGCTAAGATCAAGTGTAGTATCTGTTCTCATAAGTAAATGTGGCCTATGTTGCAAATTCCAAACGTTATTTCTAAAATTTTGCTGTATCAAATAAACTGTATCTCAAAGTTGACAGGCATGTCAACCCATACCCATTTTGTTTTATTTTCTCTCAACCACAACACAAATAATGACTTCTTAAATTGGTTACTACTACTAATACTAGATAGATGGTTCAAGAGACTTTCAAGAATGATAGGACTTCTTAAAAATGATCTTAACATTTTATTGCTGTCTATACTTATCATATATGTAGTGCAAATAATGGCTTCTGATGGTTATAAAGCATTCCTGAATTATAGACTAGGGCTATACACTTGACATATCTGCTTTATATAACCATACAGTAATATTTAGACCTAATACAGAAATTCAGAGCTATTAGGAAAATTTCTAATATACTGTATTTAAAACAGCTGTCTTAGTTTCCCAGGGGAGACTAGCACAGTCTTAACTAATGATTAGTGAAATAATACAACCACAACCACAAATAGTAATAGGAGCTTGAGGAAAATATTTCTTTAAAAAGGAATCACACACAAACACCTACCGTTATACATACATTATAATCAGGTATAGGCACAATTTTTAAATTGTGTTCAGTTATATGCTAACAATGCATTACAAAGTTTAGCAAAATTGGTGAAAAGGGAAGCAAGTTCACCTTAGTGTTACACTTTTTTTTTCTTCAATTAACTAATACAGTTCAAGTTCTCACAAGCAATACAACACCTTTTTTATTTTTCACAGTTATTGAAATCAGTCAAATATTAAATAATTTAATTCAGAAGTATTATTTATGCACACAAACTACACTTGTAACAGCATGACCTTTTACCTGAAAAATAAAGGATGAAATATTATATTTACTTATTTACATATTGCCCATAACACTGATAGGCTTTTTTTTTAATGCTTTGTTTTTTAAAAGTTGTATTGTTTTTAAACAAACAAAAATAGATTTGAAAAGACTGAACCAAAACAGTGCTACCAAAAAGTCACATCTTGTTACCAGACATCACTGTCCTTATAACAATTCAACTAATGAGATTTAAGATTTAACTTCATCCTAATGTATCAGAACATTTAAAAAAAAACACACACAAAATCTCAATGTACCTATTTAAATAAATCGTGCTTCCATAATAAGAGAGTATCCTTTAAAAATGAAAAACAGTAAAGAGCACACATTTTTATTTACTCACAACACTGAATAATTAATGTAAACTTTTTGAATTTTTTTTTTCCTTTAGACATTCTTCCTCTAGAGTAACTTTTCAAGGCCTTTTCATGAAGAGCCTTAAGTTTTATTGTCAAAATAAATGCACTTATTTTGGGAAACAGTTTGAAGTAAGTAATAAGCATTCCCCACTGTACTAACAACTTCTCTTAAAGTTCGTTTTCAATTTAGGTCACTAGCTTTTACATAAAGCCAACCCTGGTTCTGTGTAACTTACTACATTTTACCTATAGTCATTCCCACAAAGGATGCAGTATTATATTAGAAAGAAATATTACTTTAAATATGTTGAAAATAGAAGGACCAATTTAGAACTCTGACCTAGGTTCGGTCCTGAAAATGGGTCTTTCATAAATGAAGATCCAATTACTTTCACAGTTTTATTACTGTTCAGTTTATTACTAATCTGACAAGCCTAATTAGGTAACACTTCACTCTGTCTCACTGTGTTTTATACAAAATGCTGTAGGAGAAAGTTAATAAAACACTATATAAAATATTAATTTTCTATACCTTATAGTTCTTAGCATTAAAGGTGTTCTGTTAACTCTGAACTTAAACATAAAGTAATCCTATTATCCAAAGATGTAGTTTGGATTCTATTTCATTAAGCAACTGTCATTTCTACTACTAAATACTGCCAACATTCAGTGAAAAGGCAGGTTAAAAGAAGAAGCTATACTTCACTTGCTTCACACAGAGGTCTCATTAGGCACTCAATTGGCTATTTTTTTTTCACTGAAAGAATAAACCTTCACTTACCCTTTCTCTGTGACTACCTCTTTCCCAGTACATTGGTCACATTATCTGAAAAACTTAAATAACAAATATACTTTTTAAAAGAATGTATATTCAATAAATTTCTATTTAATTCAATCTAATCTGCTCAATTAGAAATTTAATTTTGCCACAAAATTTTTTTAAAGCAGTGTGCTGAATTCCCAATCCAATCCAAGATTCCTTTATATTTATATATATATATCCTAAATTACCATCTTTTGAGATGTATAATTTCCTAAAACATATTAGTTGCAAAGTTACTCTTAACCATAAAACTTCAAACAACTGCTGCATTTAAAATCAAGCAACATCCAGTACTCCAGCAGCCACAAGTTGCCGTGAGAGCCAGTCCAACCCTTCATACAGTCCCATACCACTTCGAGCATCACAGCCCTGAATATACCAGCTACGGCCACAGCATAATTTATGGAGACTGAGTAGTTCAGTGATTTCTTCTACTGACAGTGCTCCAGCAACATCCTGAAAGATATACACATATTTTTTATCAGTCCATCCAAATTATTTGTTCTAACAGAAGCCTAAACAAAAAACCTAGACTCATCTTTCAGTAATTATTCTGAGATTAATAAGAATAGAAAAAAATAGTTTGGTTTAACTAATTTATATGTGTGTGTATGTATATATTTTTGTAAGGCTAGCTTAACAATGAAATCAATAAAGGCCTTCCAACCTAAATGGAAACATACTGCCTAAGTAATTTTTTTACCTTATGAGACGGAGTCTCTGTCACCCAGGCTGGAGTGCAGTGACATGATCTTGGCTCACTGCAACCTCTGCCTCCTGGTTCAAGCGATTCTCCTGCTTTGGCATCCCAAGTAGCTGGGATTACAGGCACGTGCCACCAAGCCTGGCTAATTTTTTTGTATTTTTAGTAGAGACAGGGTTTCACCATGTTAGCCAGGCTGGTCTCGAACTCCTGACCTCAAGTGATCCACCAACCTCAGCCTCCCAAAATGCAAGGATTACAGGCATGAGCCACCATGCCCGGCCTGCCTAAATGTAAGGCATCAACTTAAAAAAAAAAAAATTAACACATGGAAACCTTAATAAATGGTTTATATATAGGGTTATATATTGAAGAGTTCACTACATTCCCACTCTGAACACCCACTGCCCCGACTTCCCAGGAGCAACCACCAGTAACAACATATTTTTCCAGAAAATTTCCATGCACACTCATGCAAATAGACACAGACAGGAACATAGTTTAGACTTTCTATAACTTGCAGGGTTGTTTTTTACGTAAACATGTTGAAGATGAGTATCTTTCCATTATCAGCACAGATGGTCTGCTCAGAATTCCCTTCCATTGTGTGGCTGCAACATAATTTAATCAGTCCTATACTGAATGTTCAGATTGAAGTTTTGTGCTTATGTGCTATTATAAATCCATATATATACACACACGTACATACATAAGCATACATACACAAAAATAAGTTGACATACATTTATGTATATTTGCAAAGTTATCTGTAGGATAACCTCCGGATATTTGTCTACCAGATACATAAAGGTAGAATTGCAAAGTAAAGGACTTTGATGAGTATTGCCAAATTGTCCTCCAAGAAAATGTCTCAGTTTAATAACCTACCAACAGTGGGAGGATGAGGCGGGCAGATCACTTGAGGTCAGGAGTTTGAGACCAGCCTGACCACCACGATGAAACCCCGAATCTACTAAAAATACAAAAAGTAGCCGGGCGTGGTAGCAAGCACCTGTAATCCCAACTACTTGGGAGGCTGAGGCAGGAGAATCGCTTGAACCAAGGAAGGGGAGGCTGCAGTGAGCAGAGGTTGTGCCACCGCACTCCAGCCTGGTGACAGAGCAAGACTCAGTCTCAATAATAATAATAATAGTAATAGTGTATATAAGCCTGAGAATTACAAAACACTTTCATCTTTATCTGATGAGCACAAAATGGTATTTCACTGACTTATTTGCATGTCTTAAATATACCAGTTCTTAATAGTTTGCTTTTTTTTTATTAAGGGGAAAATTCTTTATTCTTCATCCTACTCTTCCCCTCCCATGACATCTCCTCTGCTCCACTTCTACTCTCCTACCTCTACTTAAAAGCATCTCATCCTCCTAGAAAGGCTCAAGGCCTAGGAATCTTCAGCTACTCCCAGTCCTTCATCCTCCCCATTCGGTCACCAGTTCTACCTCAAAGTCTTTTCCATCTGCCTCCGCCTTTCTATTCATCAAATTCAGACTCTTGTTAATGCTCACTTGAATTATTTAAGCAACTTACTGCATCTCCCTGTCTCCAGTCCTTTGCCCTGATTCATTCTACCCCCAGAATTACAGTATTAAAACACTGATATGATCTTATTACCCACTAATCCAACATTTTGATGACTCCTCTTTGCTCACAGAATAAAACCTAAATTTCTCAGTCTAGCCCTGTCAGACCTTTACAGCATGGCCTTGTCTGTTATTCTAAATTCTCTTCATCCTCTAACTGGACCTGACATGATGATCTGCTTGATGTTCCCTAAACTAAAAACATTCATGCTATTATCTTCTCTATGATGTTCTTCCTTTCACATACTGACTCAGCCTCATCCATAATTTCAACTCAAATCCTACATTTTACAATCTTACAACATGCCACATTTAGAACTACTCTCCTAATTCCCATAACACTGTGTTACTGAAGTTACTTATCAGTTTTCTTTGTATTCGTATCTCATTTATGGGTTCATATACATACACAAGAGTTTCTGGTGAGCATTAACTACCTTATTTCTATTTTGTATACTCCCAGGTACCCAGCACAGCATTTTCACATAGATTGTACTCAAAATACACAGAAGAAACTTTATAAATATCTATGGAACTGTCTTCTGAAATATTTCCAGTTACTTTATGACATGCACAAAACTACTAAAATAAATATTCCAATATAAAAATGCATTACCTGTTTGTTAGCAAAAATCAGGAGCAGAGCATCTCGGAGTTCTTTTTCTGTTAACAACTTTGCAAGTTCACTGTGTGCTTCACTAATTCTGTCTCTATGACTGCTATCTACAACAAACACAACAGCTACCCAAAAAACAAACAAATAAAAAACCCAAAATACTAATTAGTCACTTGCTAAAGTTCAGTAAATGAACCAAATATTTAATGACATCATTATTATGGTTAGAGTTTGTCTACCATCATTATTTTCACACAGAGTCTGCCTAGTATGGCAGGGGCACCTACAAAAAATTAACGATATGATTTCAAGTAGTTTACATAACTTCTCAGGTTTAGTTTCCCCATCTATGAAAGGATTTACACTTGCTCTATCAAATGCAAATTGGTCTGTATATCAAATAACATTTTTTACATAACAAATTGCAAAATAGGCCTCATGATCCTCTACCTATTGATGCTACTTGTTCTTCGAATACTACTTTTGTAACATTTAGTCTTTGAATAAAAGACTAAAAGACAAAAACCATCACCATTTTTATCTCTCTAAAGTATTATGTCTAAGTTAACTATCCCCAGACTTTCAACCATTCCTCATATTCAAAATTTCATTTTTGTAGGGCACAATGGCTCACAACTATAATCCCAGCACTTTGGGAGGCTGAGGTGAGAGGATCACTTGAGCCCAGGAGTTTGAGACCCCTGGGCAATATAGTGAGACCTTGTCTCTACAAAAAAAAACAATTTACAAATTAGCTGAATGTGGTGGCATACCCCTGTAGTCCTAGCTACTTGGGAGGCTAAGGTGGGAAGACTGCTTGAGCCCAGGAGACAGAGGTGGCAGTGAACTGCAGTCATGCCACTGTATTCCTGCCTGGGCAACAAAGCAAGATTCTGTCTCAAAAACAAAATACATGTTTTCTATTAATTATGGGTCATACTAAATACCAAAAATCCCAAAGTAAAAATAATTGTTCAGTCTCTCATCTTAGTGGAAAGCAGGATAACATACAGAATAAGTGGCATGAGCGTAAGCTCTATGTTGTGGTCTATGAGGCAAAAGTGTAGAATAAGACCCAAATGTGACTAAAACCTATGTAGAGTATACATATGATATAATACAGTTTGGTCAAAAGCAAGCCACTGTAAATTCTTCTGCAGGTAACAACTATTTGTGAAAGAAATGTGGGAGTGGGGCTATAGTGAGATTATAATGGGATAAATGTTGAGTTTAACTGAATTCAGCAGAATCATACAATATAAATTCAACTCTATATCACGACACTACCAGCAATCACACCCATATAATACTGATAATATACATTCTCTGTTAAGAGAAGCAAGAGTACTCTTAACTGACTATGTATCTAAGGTACGTATGGCTTTTATTCTGTAATAATGGTTTATCAGGAATAAACTAAAAGTACATATTGTAATCTTTCTATTTTCATTTTTTTACAAGATAAGAAACTGGCCACCGGTACTTAAGTATACAGTCAAGGACTTATACGTATCAGCTTTGCTAGTTAAATCAGTACACTGAAAACTGTCATCCTAAAAATGTGAAAAATTAAATGTCATTTTTAACTCTCACCTTGAGTATTGAGGTAATAATGTTTCCACAATGGTCTTAATTTGTGTTTTCCACCTACATCCCAAATAGTGAATTTCAGATTTTTATATTCTACAGTTTCCACATTAAAACCTGTTTTTAAAAAAAGTTACTTTTATATTTATATTTACAATGAATGACACATCAAACACAGACAACCCCCCAGTTTATAACTGTGACTTATCAATTATCTATATGCAGCAATATCTACTGAAGCCTAATCAACCCCATTCCTACTCCTACATGGAGAATGTATACCTGTAACAGCTCCTAGCCCTCTAAACCTCCACCAAGGTCCTTAGGACCTTGGGATCCATGTACCTTCAAGCTCTGTTCCACTACCACCCCCCACCCCACACCCTCAGCCAGGATCACCAATCCTCTATTCCTTCCAACTGTCCCACCAATACTCTGATTCTTTTTATCCCCATCCACATTTCAATCCCATAGCCATACAATCTTACATTTTTTTCTCTGAGATGCTGATATCTTAAAGCCAGAAAAGAGCCCACCACCATGACAGATCAGTATCAAATAAGACCCCAAGAACTCGGCTGTAAGCTAGGGTTTGTCTATTAACTGTTCTTTAAGGTAAAAACCAATATTCATACTTACCAATTGTTGGAATGGGCTGCATGAATTCATCCTGTTTTAACTTAAACAAGATAGTAGTTTTTCCAGCACCATCCAATCCTAATGTAACGACCCGAATTTCCATTTTTGGCCCAATGTGAACTCGATTATCCTATGATTTAAATATTTTTAAATATGTTTGACATGCAGTTAGGAAGTAATAGCATTTAGCACCTTTATTATTTCTACATCTCCTATTCATTCCTCAACCATTGCAATCTGAATTGTATTCTTCAAAATCCCATGATCTCAAGAAGATGAACTCCTTCCCCATGGCTAAATCTTTCCTTAGTAAAACTGACCACTTTGTCTTTGTGTAACAGAATATAACACACCCACTTAATTTTCTCAGATTTTCTAACTCAAATGAATCCTCTTTAAATCTTATTTAAACATGTTTTTATGCTATACTAAAAAACTCACAATAGGGCTAAATTAATTAAAATGAAAAGTGCTGCTCAATTCCCAGAAATCTCTACTATGAATCTGATGTATATCCCTACAGACACTTTCCCATGCACATACTGGCCAACATACACAAACAAAACAATTTTTTTTTAAAAAAAGCATCACCCACACATTGAAACTAATGTGTTTCACTCAACAGTATATTATGGAATCCTTTCAATACATATGGACCAAACTTTTTCTTTTAATGGCTTCTTTACATTTCATAAACCATAATTTAAACCCCCAACTGATAGATTTTAGGTAATTTCTGGTTTTATGATATTACAAATAATGCTATATTGAACATTTTTATATATTACTAGCTACATGATTTCTCTGCTTCACTTCTTTCATCTCTTAAAAGGACTAAAATAGTACAAAATTTACATAGGATTATTAAAAGGATTAATTTTTTTAAATACATACAAAAGTTCTTACAACAGTTCCCAAAATATATGTGTTATTTTTGCCTACTCCTTTGAGCACTCTTTGCTTGGCATTTATGATACAAACTTTTCCTGGTTTGGTTTTATCCCATTTTTGGATGCTCCTTCTAATTTTTCTTTTATCTAGCTCTTAAATGTTGGTATTCTTGAAGGTCTGTATGAGGCCCCTTCTCATTCTACATATTTTCACTCTCTTCACGAGCTTTAATTACCATCTATATGATGGCTCCAAATCTATACTTAAGTCCAGTTATACACCTCAGAAATAAAACAATATATGGAACTTCCGTGAGAACTCTAGAGAATAGTTAAGAAGCTACAGCACCCAAGCCATAAAACCAAGAAGGCATTCCAGTGAAGGGGGTAATAAAATTTGGGGCATTCTGTGCACTCATCCCTGCCCTTCCCCATATCTGACATAATGAGGATGAGGTGCAACCAGGGGGAAACTACAAAATACTAGCAAACTGAATTCAACAACACATTAGGCCAGGTGCGGTGGCTCACGCCTGTAATCCCAGCACTTTGGGAGGCCAAGGGGGGTGGATCACCTGAGGTCGAGAGTTCGAGACCAGCCTGACCAACATGGAGAAACCCTGTCTCTACTAAAAATACAAAATTACCCAGGCATGGTGGCATGTGCCTGTAATCCCAGGTACTCAGGAGGCTGAGGCAGGACAATCACTTGAACCCGGAAGGCAGAGGTTGCAATGAGCCAAGATCGTGCCACTGCACTCTAGCCTGGGCAACAAGAGCAAAACTCCGCCTCAAAAAAAACCCAAAAAACAAAAAAAACACACATTAAAGGGATTGTACACCATGACTAAATGGGCTTTATACCTGGAAGGCAAGAATTATTCCTCATCAATCAGTGTAATATACAGAATGAGAGGTAAAAAAAACCCGTAATCATCTCAATAGTTGCAGAAAAAGCATTTGACAAAATTCAATACCCTTTCACAATAAAAACATTTGACAAACTAGGAATAGAAGGAAACTGCCTCCGTGTAACATACATTATATATGAAATGCCCACAGTTAACATCATACTCAAAAAACTGAAAGCTTTTTCTCTAAGATAAAGAACAAGAAGATGCCCACAGAGCAATTAGGCAAGAAAAATAACAAAAGTCATCCAAATTGTAAAGGAAGATGTAAAATTATATCTCTTCACAGATGATATGATCTTTTATGTAGAAAACCCTGAACAGTCCACACAAAAAGACCTATTAGAAAGAATAAATAAAGTCAACAAAGTTTCAGGATATAAAATCAACATGAAAATCAGTTGCATTTCTATACATTAATGATAAAAATCCCAAAAGGAAATTAATAAAACAATTCTACTTACAATCGCATCAAAATTATACTTTCGGGGATACTTTTTATAGTTCATGACTAAAGAAGTTTCTCTGAACATGTAGAGAAAAAAAAGTTTAAGATACTTAGGAATAAACTCAACCAAGATGGTGAAAGACTTGGATATTATGTTGGTGCAAAAGTAACTGTGGCTTTTGCCAGTACTTTTAATGGCAAAAACCACAATTACTTTTGCACCAATGTAATATGTAGGCATACACCTAACCAAGAGGGTGAAAGACTTGTACACTAAAAACTACAAAACATTACTAAAATAAAGACATAAATAGACATTCCATGTCCATGGATTGAAAGACATAATATTAAGAAGTGAATACTACCCCAGGTAATTTATATAGATTCAATGCAATCCCTATCAAAATCCCAATCATGTTTTTTGCAGAGATAGAAAAAATTAAGCTAAAATTTATATGGAAGCTCAAGTGACCCTGAATAGCCAAAACAATTTTGAAAAAGAAAACAGTTGGAGGACTCATACTTCCTTACTTCGAAATATATCACAAAGCTTGTTCTGTTTTTGCACTGCTCTGAAGAAATACCTAAGACTGGGTAATTTATAAAGAAAAGTTTAATTGGCTCACAGTTCCATAGGCTGTACAGGAAGCATGATGCTGGCATCAGTCTGGCTTCAGGGGAAGCCTCAGGAAACTCACAATCATCGTGGAAAGCAAAGAGGGAGTGACGCATTTCACATGGCAGGAGCAGGAGCAAGAGAGAGGGTGGGGGAGGTGCCACACAGTTTTAAAAGATCAGATCTCATGAGAACTCACCTATTATGGCAAAAACAGTACCAAGGGGGATGATACTAAACCATTCGTGAGAAACTGCCCCCATGATCCAATCACCTCCAACCAGGCCCCACTTCAACATTGGGGATTACAACTGGACATAAGATTTGGACAGGAACATAGATCTAAGCCATATCAGCTACAATAATGAAAACTATGTGGTACTGGCATAAAGATGAGACATACAAACCAACAGAATAGAAGAGAGAGCCCAGAAATAAACCCTCAGGAATAGCGTCACATGATCTTCAACAAGGGTACCAGGACCACTCAATGAAAAGACAGTCTCTTCAATAAATGATGCGGGGAAACTGGATAGCTACATGCAAAAGGATGTTGTGTATCTTACGCCACCTACAAAAATTAACTCAAAATGGATTAAAGCCATAAACTTAAGACCCCAAACCATAAAACTCCTAGAAGAAAAAACAGAGGAAAAGCCTCATGACATTGCATTTGAGAATGACTTCATGGATATACCAAAAGCACAGTTTAAAAAAAAAAAAGCAAAAACAAATGAGACAACATCGAATTTAAAATTTTTGTGCATAAAATGACGCAGTTAACAGAGTGAAAAATCAACCTATGAAATGGGAGAAAGTATTTGAAAGTCACAGATCTGATAGGGAATTAATATCCTGAATATATAAAGAACTCCTACAATTAAACAACAGAAACAGTCAACCCAATCAAAAAGTGAGTGAAGGATTAAAATAGACATATTCAAGGCAATATACAGATGGCCAACAATTATATGAAAAGATGGTCAACGGCATTAGTCATCAGAGATATGGATATCAAAACAAATAAAGTATCATTTCAAACCAATCAGGATGGCTACTATCCAAAAACAGAAAATAACAAATGTTGGTGAAAATGTGGAGAAATTGCATCCTGTGCACCACTGGTGGAATTGTAATATGGTGCAACCATTATGGAAAACAGTATGGTGTTTCCTCAAAAAATTAAAAACAGAACTACTATATGATCTACCAACTTCACTTCTGGATATATATCCAAAAGACCATGAAAGCAGGGTCTTGAGGAGATATTTTTACACTCACATGCACAGCAGCACTATTCCCAGTAAACCAAGAGGTAGAAGCAACTCAAGTTTCCATCAACAGATGAATGAACAAACAAAATGTGGTACACACATTGTATTAGTCCATTTTCATGCTGCTGATAAAGACATACCCGAGACTGGGAAGAAAAAGAGGTTTAATTAGACTTATAGTTCCACATGGCTGGGGAGGCCTCAGAATCATGACAGGAGGCAAAAAGCACTTCTTACATGGCAAGGGCAAGAGAAAAATGAGGAAGAAGCAAAAGTGGAAACCCCTGATAAACCCATGAGATCTCGTGAGACTTAATCACTATCACGAGAATAGCAGAGGAAAGACCAGCTCCCATGATTCAATTACCTCAGCCTGGGTCCCTCCTACAAAACGTGGGGATTCTGGGAGATACAATTCAAGTTGAGATTTGGGTGGGGGCACAGCTGAAGCATATCATTCTGCTCCTGGCCCCTCCAAACCCTGCCCCTACAGCAAACTTCTGCCTAGGCATCTAGGTGTTTCAACGCATCTTCTGAAATCTAAGCAGAGGTTCCCAAACCTCAATTCTTGACTTCTGTGCACCCACAGGCTCAACACCACACAGAAGCTGCCAAGGCTGGGGGATTCCACCCTCTGAAGCCACAGCCTGAGCTCTATGTTGGCCCCTTTCAGCCACAGCTAGAGTGGCTGGGACACAGGGCACCAAGTCCCTAGGCTGCACACAGCATGGGAACCCCGGGCCCAGCCCACGAAACTACTTTTTCCTCCTGGGCCTCCAGGCCTGTGATGGGAGGTGCTGCCATGAAGATCTCTGACATGGCCTGGAGACATTTTCCCTTTGGTCTTAGGTATTAACATTAGGTTCCTTGCTACTTACATAAACTTCTGCAGCCAGCTTGAATTTTTCCCCAGAAAATGAGTTTTTCTTTTCTATCACACAATCAGGCTGCAAATTTTCCAAACTCTTACGCTCTACTTCCCTTATAAAACTGAACACCTTTAACAGAACCCAAGTCACCTCTTGAATGCTTTTGCTGCCTAGAAACTTCTTCCACCAGATACCCTAAATCATCTCTCTCAAGTTCAAAGTTCCACAAATCTCTAGGCAAATGCCACCAGTCTCTTTGCTAAAACATAACAAGAGTCACCTTTGTTCCAGTTCCCAACAAATTCCTCGTCTCCCTCTTAGAATACCTCAGCCTGGATTTCATTGTCCACATCATTATCAGTACTTTTGTCAAAGTCATTCAACGAGTCTCTAGGAAGTTCCAAACTTTCCCACATTTTCCTGTCTTCTTCTTTGCCCTCCAAACTGTTCCAACCTCTACCTGTTACCCAAAGTTATTTGCACATTTTTGAGTATCCTTTCAGCAATGCGCCACTCTACTGGTACCAATTTACTATATTAGTCCATTTTCATGCTGCCGATAAAGACATACCCGAAACTGGGAATAAAAAGAGGTTTAATTGGACTTACAGTTCCACATGGCTGGGGAGGCCTCAGAATCATGAGGGGGGCAAAAGGCACTTCTTACATGGTGGTGACAAGAGAAAAATGAGGAAGAAGCAAAAGCGGAAACCCCCTAATAAGCACATCAGATCTCATGAGATTTATTCAATATCACAAGAATAGCACAGGAAAGACCGGCCTCCATTATTCAATTACCTCCCCCTCGATCCTTCCCACAACATGTGGGAATCCTAGGAGATACAATTCAAGTTGAGATTTGGGTGGGGACACAGCCAAACCATATCACACATGCAATGGAATACTACTCGGCCTTAAAATGGAAGAAAATCCTTTCACATGTTACAATATGGATGAATTTTGATGATAGGCCAAGTGGAATAAGCCAGCCACAAAAAGGCAAATACTGTATGATTACACTTATATGAGGTATCTAGTCAAATTCATAAGGGAAAATACAATAGTGGTTACCAAGGACCAATGAGAGGGGGCAGAGGGGAATTGTTTAAAGGGTATAGTTTCAGTTTTACAAAATGAAAAGTTTCTGGATATGTTTAACAATGTATACTTAACAGTACTGAACTGTACACTTCTAAATGGTTGAGATAGATAGCAAATTTTTTATTATGTGTTTTTTACCACAATAAATAAATGTGGTATATCCTCACAATGAATTACCTTGCAGCTGGAGAAAGGAACAAAAAATGTCACTTTATACTGCTACAGAGTAACGTTTAGGATGTACAGTTAAGTGAAAAGAGCAGGGACAAAAAAAGTGTGTAAGGTATTCCACCTTTTAAATCCAAGTAGTGTACATACAAAGATATAAACACATTTCTCTATACTTTTTAAAATGATGACTAAAAGTAAGAAAAAATTCTAAGTGATTTTCTATGGGGAACGAAGTAAAAAGGGTAGAAGGAACAGGCATAAAAGCTAGATTTCTCTGAATAAACCTTGCTTTGGACATTTGACTCTGGATCACATAAACATTTCACATAATTGTGAAAACATAATTAATTTTTTTAAAAAACAGCCCCTAAAAATAGAAAGCAAAATGGTACACATGAACATTTTTCAATCAGGGAGAACCCACTTTAAAAGAAGCTTAAATATATCAACCAAATCCCAAGTATGAAACTTGCTTGGATTGTATCTAAAATAAAGCAACCATTAAAAAAATTGTTTTGAAAACAATCTGGGAAATTGGAATACTAACCATAGTTGATAATATTAGTGAAAATATTAGAGATTCATTATTAAACTTTTTTTGTGTAATAATGATATTTTGGCTTTTTTTTTTTAAGTGATGGGAATTTCACTATATTGCCCAGGCTGGTCTTGAAGTCTTGGGCTCAAACCATCCTCTTGCCTCAGCCTCCTGAGTAACTGGGACTATAAGGTATGCCACCATGCCCAATTATGTTTGTTTTCTTTTGGTTTTGAGGCGGAGTATTGCTCTTGTTACCCAGGCTGGAGTGCAGTGGCGTGATCTCACCTCACTGTAACCTCTGCCCCCTGGTTTCAAATGATTCTCTAGCTGAGATTACAGGCATGCACCACTAAGCAAAAAATTTTGTATTTTTAGTAGAGACAGGGTTTCTCCATGTTGGTCGGGCTGGTCTCAAACTCCTGACCTCAGGTGATCCACCTGCCTCGGCCTCCCAAAGTGCTGGGATTACAGGTGTGAGCCACTGCACCTGGCCCCAATTATGTTTTTAAAAAGAGTCCTTATCTTTTGAAGATACACCCTAAAATATTTCATAGATGAAATAAGATGTTGGGATGAAATTATATGATATTAGGATTTGCTTCAAAATACACTGGGAGATTGCAAGTAGAAAAAGGAGTAGGTAAAAGGCAAGATGAAATAAGTTTATAATTGCTCAAGTGGGTGATGGATATAGAAAGATTCATTATATATACCATATATATACTATTTATATTTTCTTATTTTTACTTTTTTAAATTTAAAAATATGGTGCACTTCACAAATTTGCGTGCCATTCTTGCACAGGGGCCATGCTAATCTTCTTATTCCAATTTTAGTATATGTGCTGCCGAAGTGAGCACACCATTTCTATTTTCCACTGATAAAAGTTTTCTTAAAAAGCCCCTAATTCATGAATTTCATGGTTGTCTCTCTAAGGTGATTATCATGAAATGTAAATCAATTATGATTTGTCAGAAAAAAATACCTAAAAATAAAGTACAGTACATTACCTTTGTAAAAGTGACAGGGATGCTGGCATCCAACTGAATGTGATCTGCAACTTCTGTAAACTGCTGCTGCTGTTTCTGCAATGTTTCCAGTAACCTTGTAATTTCCTGTTTTGCCAAGACAACTCTACAATCATCCTATAAGAGGCAAAACAATATTTCTTATAAACTTTTTATAAGAAATAAGGAAAAGATACTTACATTACCAACTCACAATAAAAGCAGTTTTAACATTATAGTAGTCAAAGTTAAATGTAAATTTGACAAGAATAATAATTGGGCATTAATATATAATTTGAGGACCTAGCAACAAAAGAATGGATAAATTGTAGAATATTGATAAATGGAACACTACATCACAGTGAGAATAAATCACAGCTACACATGATGATAGAAATTTCACAAACACAATGTGGAGTGTAAGAAGACATGGCATGGAGAATTCATACTGTATGATTTCATTTAATTACCAAAACAACTAAAATTAAGATATACATTAGAAGTCAAGATAGTGATTTATCATGGTGGGAAAGGCAGGTAGTGGACAGAAGTGAGTATGAGGGGACTACTGGGGAACTGACAATGTTCTGTTACTTGATCTAGGTGCTAGTTAGACATTAATGATCAGTCTGAAAATTCAGCCAACTGAATACTTATGCATACATTTCTATATCTATGTTCTACTTCTATAAAAAGTTTAAAAAATAATTTCAGATATACATGTATTCATTAAAAAAATAAAGAATACAGGTCAACCTCCCTCTAGATCCCCAGATCCACTCCTCAAAGTCAAGAACTTTCCAGTTTCTTGAATATTATTACAGACTATCTATACATATACCAATATAGTCTTTATATGAAAGAGATCTCCCAATAATATGCAAGCTCCATGAGAATGACAGTGTTATCTGTTTTTGCTCACTGTTAGATACTCAGGTTAGTTGACAGCAATTCCACTGTTTCAGCTGTTCAGGACAAACGCTGAAGCCATTATAGCTTTCTCTTTCCCACATGTCCTACATACAATCTGTTAATAAATCCTTTTGAATATCCAGAATCTGGGCACTTCTAATCCCCATTATCCAAGCTACTATTACCTCTCACCTGGAATTCTACAACAGTTGCTTAACTGTTGAATTCCTTCCTTCCATTTTTGCCTTCTTCCAATCTATTTTAGACACATAGGCCAGAACAATCATTTTAACACATAAGATTAAGTCACATTTCTACTCAAAACTCTACAATGGTCCTCCTATCCCAATCAGTAAAAGCTGAAGTACACCCAGGCATGGTGGCTCACACCTGTAGCGCTAGCACTTTGGGAGCCCACGTGTTTTAGACAAGTCTGGGCAACATGGCGAAACTCCGTCTCTATGAAAAATACAAAAAAATTAGCTGGATGTGGTGGCTTGCTCCTGTAGTCCCAGCTACTCAGGAGGCCGAAGCAGGAGGATCACTTGAGCCCAGGAGGCAGAAGCTATAGTGAGACCAGATTGTATCACTGCACTCTAGCCTGGAGCAAGACCCTGTCCCACTTCCCCACTCCCCCCAGCCCCCGGCCAAAGAAAAAAACAATTGAAGTCCTTATAATGCCTCACAGGGTTTTCCTTACATATAATTCTCTATTAATCTCTGATTTCAGCTCCTATTACTCTGTCCTTCGCTTATTCTACTCCAATCAAGAGGTCAATTTTCCTGTTCCTCAAACATACCAGGCATGCTGCCCTAGGGTTTTTGCTATAAACATTTCCTCAACTAGAATGTTCTTCTCCCAGTTAGGGCCTGAATGAATTCCTTCAACTTTTTACTTAAATCTTTGCTCAAATCTCACCTTCCCTCAATAATGCTTACTCTGACTACTCTACTTAATAATGCAATCTGCTGTACAAACACAAACATGCAGTTGCAGAATTCTTTTTTGATTAGCTCTTACCACTTTCTAACATATAGTATAATTAACTTACTTAGATATGGTTATGGTTTATTGCCTGTCTTCTTGCTAGAATGCTAATTCTACAAGATTATGGCTTTTCACTTATTTTGTCCACTGATATATTTTAAATACACGGCATATGTTAGGTGCTCAATACATATTTGTTAAATGAATATTCAGCATCCAGTATCATGCCAAGAACTTTAGATGATGCATAATTTGTTTAGAGTGGATGGATGATTAAATTATGTTCTCAGAAGTGAAGATCAATTTGTGATGTTCCATCCATTCCTCTGTTCAATTTTCTCTGTAGTGGGAACTTTAAAGAACATTGGTTAGTATTCTGTAGTCATAAAATAGAACAAAACTAATACGTCCATAGGAAAAATGAATCCAAGACCTTGATTTTTTTGCATTAACATAGATAATATTGTATTATTAAAAATTACCAGTTCATATGGCTTGGCTCCGTGTCCTCACCCAAATCTCATCTTGAATTGTAACCCCCATGTCTGGGGAGGGACGTGATTGGATCACGGGGACAGTTTCCCCCATGCTGTTCTCATGATAGTGAGTTCTCATGACATCTGATGGTTTTAAAGTGTGACATCTCCCCTTTGCTCACTCTCTCTCTCTCTCTCCTGCTGTCTTATGAAGAAGGTGCTTGCTTCCCCTTTGCCTTCCACCATGAATGTAACTTTCCTGAAGCCTCCCCAGCCATGCAAACCTGTGAGTAAATTAAGCCCCTTTCCTTTATAAATTACCCAGTCTCGGGTAGTATCTGTAGAGCGGTGTGAAAATGGACTAATATACCAGTCATTTTGGCACAACACTTCAGAAACTCTAAAACACTTAAATATTTCAGTAACTATGAACATACTTTTTCATAAAATAAATATGAATATACTTTTAAGTATTCAAGTTAGTATGATTTAGGACACGATTCCACTCTGATTTTGCTGTGTAGCTTCATTATCCGCCATGAGTTAAACATGTATTTATTAAGTTCTTCTATCTAGATGCAAAGAATTCAGTGACACAAAGATGAACAAGATGCATCAAGATGCATCAAAGATGAACAAGGTCAGCATCTAAAACACACAGGCATATTGTCATTCGAGGTCAAATCAGAAGACACAAATCACACCACTATTTGAATAGAAAGAACTTAAAATAAAAACTGTTAACTAGGTGTGGTTATTAACGAGGTAGCTAAAAGGATAAAAGGAACTCTGAGGTATTATGGAGGTAGCAATTGTATGAAATAATATAGCTACCACTTCCAGTGCTGAGGGAATAAAAGGAAGAGGTTAGAATTATTAAAACTTAGAAACTTGCAGGAGTGGCTCACGGAGCTGAAACTCAAACCTCCAGGAAGGGTGGTCTCCTAACATGAGTAACTATGCCCCCTTTTGACAGTACCTAACATGGGTCCAGCTGGCAACACAATTACGAGGTCTATAGAGTTCTAGCCCTAGTATCACAAAGCAGAGGATAGAAGAGTAGGTTTGGAGCTGAAAATCAACTTAATAAATAGCATACATATCAACTGTTACAATTCAGTGTAGTAAGGACTCAATGATAATCCAAGACTGATGAGGCTATAGACTGGCCACTTTCATGTAAGTGTAATCAGATACTTAAGAGAAAAAGCTCTACAATGGTAAAAGGCTTAGCCTACAATGATTTGAAATCAACACAATTATCAGCAATATATCAGTGAAGATAACACAGACTGCAGCTTTTCTGAAATTCCTAGGGCAATAGTTATCCTTATACCTCACACTTAGGAAAACAGATCCAAAACACAAATGGGTAAGGCTGACATTTGTGTCAGAATAACTTTGAGCCTCACTTATTTAAAAAGTAAGTCATGGCCGGGCGCGGTGGCTCAAGCCTGTAATCCCAGCACTTTGGGAGGCCGAGGCGGGCGGATCACAAGGTCAGGAGATCGAGACCACAGTGAAACCCCGTCTCTACTAAAAATACAAAAAAAAAAAAAATTAGCCGGGCGCGGTGGCGGGCGCCTGTAGTCCCAGCTACTCAGGAGGCTGAGGCAGGAGAATGGCGGGAACCCGGGAGGCGGAGCTTGCAGTGAGCCGAGATTGCGCCACTGCACTCCAGCCTGGGCAACAGCGTGAGACTCCATCTCAAAAAAAAAAAAAAAAAAAAAAAAAAAAAGTAAGTCATCTGCAAACTGGGTAACAAATTGCTTATGGTATCTCAACCAGCACAAAACATACGTTTGTTCTAACAGTGAAGAACCATCGAATTACAGCAGAGGTAGGCGGTACATGCTAGAGGGGCACTCAAAAAAAGACCAACAAAGAGAAAGCTTCAAAGAAAGGCAAACATTTAAGCTGGACCTTGAAGGAGAAGGAAGATTTCCACTATAAGAAAAGAGAGATATATGCACTCCAAGCAGGAAAAAAAAAACAGTACATATATGCTTGGCAAAGAAGAATAAAAGGATTTGGCATTAACTGAAGAATGGCAAGAAGTTAGAAGGCTTCAAGAACCCATGGCTCAAGATGGGGAGGGCACATGAACGAGAGGGCACTGATAATTCCACACTAGTGAAATAATTCAAGGTTGCAGACTATGTCCTCAGCACAAAGTTACTGCATACAGCAGACACAAAATAATAATAAAATACACTAATGTATACCTCTGGTAATTATCTACTTAAACTTACAACTAAGACCCTAACCACATTTAAACTACCTACCTGCTGCAAAGTCTTTTCACAATGGAGGCAGGCTGCTGAAACCTCTGACAACAAAATAGTCATATCTTCTTGTTGCTGCCTAAGCCAAATCAATTTTTCACGAACATGAGCATCAACAACACTTAGAGCCATTTCTTCTTGACGACACAGAGTTTCATGTAGATCATAAAAATATGCTCGAATACATGACCGGGCATTCTCTGCAGTCCCTGGTACCTAAGAAAATGAAAATAAATTTTAAGCAACTGTAATGTTAATAAAGATTTTACCTGTGAAATATTTAAAATTTCAGCCTAGGCAACATGGCAAAACCCTGTCTCTACGAAAAATAGAAAACATTAGCCAGGCGTGGTGGCATGTGCCTGTAGTCCCGGCTACTCAGGAGGCTGAGGTGGGAGGACTGATTGAGCCCCAGAAGTCAAGGCTGCAGTGAGTCGTAATCACATCACTGCATGCCAGCCTGGGTGACCGAGCAAGACGTTGTTTAAATACCATCTATATTAAATTCCAAAATATAAATCTCCATGCTAGATCTTTCCCCTAATGCACAGACATTGGAAATTCAACTGTTTATAAATGACATCTCAAGCAAAATGGAATGCCTAATCTCCAGTCTCCCCTATTCCCAAACCTAATTGTCTCTGTCTTGGTAAATGGCAACTCCATCCATCAGGATGAAAGCAAACAAAATTGGAGTCATGATGATCACCTCTCTTTCATAGCCCATTAGTCCCTCAGCAAATTCCAAAATACATCCAGAATCTGATCATGCCTCATCACCTCCAAGTTACCTATCCAATCAATATTAACAATTAATCACTAAGACCTATCTATTCTACTTCTTTAAAATCTTAAATCCATCAACTTGTGTCCACTCTCTCTACCCTAGTGTATTATAGGCCATAAGCATCTCTAGAATTTTAACTATAAAACTTTAACAACATCCTAATAGGTCTACCTACTTCCAATTTTGTTGCTCCTCCAATTCATTTTCTACATTTAAAACAGCCTTTCTTAAGGAAAATCTGATCATGTCATTCCTATGTCAATTCTTCAATGGCTCGTCACTGTCCTTAAACTAAGTTCTGAACTCTTTATTAACATGGCTGACGAGATCCTGCATGATTTGGCTTTGAACTCTCCATATCCTCTTTTCTTGTCATGTCCCATTCAATATTCAAAGCTCTAACTAGTGAGCTTCTTTAAGTCTCTACAATATGTCCAATTCTCACTTCCAAACATTTTAACATATTGCTCCCTTCTTGGGACAATTCATTCCCCATTCTGCTCTTTTCCTTGACTGAATTTCTTCAAATCTCAGTTTAAACATTGTTTCTTCTCTAAGGATTTCTCTGACCTCCATAAATCATTGCCCGTTTTGTGATGCCAAAGCACCCTGTACTTCTCCTCCATAAAATAGTCACCACATTTAAAACTCTCTCTGTTCCGTGATGAATGACTTCCTTAAACACAGGGACTTTTAAAAAACTTTCCAATGACTGGTGCAATACTAGCAAATTGTAATTGCTCATTAAATACTTAGTAGAAGGTGAAAATATGAAAAATAAAAAACAAGGAGAAAGGGGAAGAAGAAAAAAAAACCATACATGTTCTGTGTGAGCCATTCCAATTCCATCTTCCACGATTTGTTCTCCTCCTTCAATGTGCTGTACAATTCCAACTAATTTTCTGGAATAATCTGAGATTTCCTCTGTGAAGGTCCGTATGCAGTGAGCCATATCTAAAATTGATGCTCGGATCTGATTAGCTTCTGGTTCCAATACTGAATGCTATAAAATGTAACATGAGAAAAGAACTCATAGTATTGACTAATAATATAGAAAAATATTTAAATCCCTGTTAATACAAAAAAGCATCAGCCACAAGTGACTTTTATAACACAGAAAAATACTATAATTTACTTTCACTCCTTTATAAGAAAACTGTACTGCAAAGAAGTAATTTAAAATTTGGAAGTCCATTTATTGCTAAACAAGAAACCAAGAGACTATCTCTAAAATTATATCCTAAGTAAGAGCTAACAGACATAAATATTGTCAAACAATCTGGTGCATTATGAAAACATGCAAACAAAGAGAATGTTTGTTTCCTGCTCAAAGGCTATTTTTTTGTGAAGAATGACGCTCTTTGAAGTTTTTCTTTTTTTAATAACATTTAGAAATTAAATCTCTCATTTATTTTCATGCTACCAAACACAATCATTCATCACTTAACTCTTCTTCAATGCCTACTTTCAGAATAAAGAACCAGGTCAGTGAAAACGAATACTGAGCTGGTAAAGTAGCTACAGTGATCCAATTGATTAATAATTAAATTCATACCTTGTGACCTTGGTGTTTTCCATATTCTTTGCAGACACAGCACATGAGTGGGCTAGTTTGACAACCTTCTTCTAAGCAAACAAACTCAATGGCATGCACCTGGTGCTGAGAGCACATGGTTTTCTCATGAGGTTTATCAGCTAGAGGAACTCGCCTGTGCTTTGCTAATGTCTTTGTAGAATGAGTAACTTGAGAACACTCAGAGCACAAATGAGTTGCACACACAGTGCAATATACAGATGCAAGGTGAGCTTCATCTTCATCACAACGAATGATGCTCTGATAAACAAAAAATTAATGCCTTAAAATTGAACCCAATCAGTATAACATGACAAATTTTTAAATATAGAATCCCATAATCTTTTTTGCTTTACTGACCAATATTTACATATGAAAATATATTGGTCATTAAGCACAAAGGTCATTCAATACTCATCCGAGAAACATTCATTTCTACAGGTAAGAAGCTATTTCCAAGATTAACTGACCAATATATGTTATGAATTTGAAGCCAAAAATAAAACTATTCTCGTAGATTCATATTCGGTGCAAAGATCTCTTCCACCAAATCCCCTCACTTTACACAAAAGAAACTAAACCATAGAGAAGTCAAAAGTCTTTTTTTAAAACTACAAAAATCTGATACTAAACATAACCCCATAGCTTTAAGTATTAGTTGTCATGATGATGTACAGGAAGGACAGAAGCACAAATACTATTTAGAAAATGTAGGAATTAGCTGTAAGCTTTTAAAAACATAGTCGTCTGGACGCTAATCTGAGAAATTCTTATTTCAACAGGTTGTGGATGAACCCTAGACTTGTATATATTTTTCTAATTATACACCACATATTTTAATAGCTCCACAGGTGAGTCTATTGCACAATCATGGCAGAAAACCACTGATTTAAGCAAATAATTTAAAAAAAAAATAGGCCAGGCTCAGTGGCTCACACCTGTAATCCCAGCACTTTAAGAAGGCTGAGGCAGGTAATCACTTGAGGCCAGGAGTAAGAGACCAGTCTGGCCAACATGGAGAAACTCTATCTCTACTAAACATCCAAAAATTAGTCAGGTGTGGTGGTGCACACCTGTAATTCCAGCTACTCAGGTAGCTGAGGCACAAGAATCACTTGAAGCCAGGAGGCAGAGACTGCAGGTAACTGAGATCACGCCACTGCACTCCAGCAAGGGTGACAGAGCAAGACTCTGTCTTAAAAAATAACAATTAATAAACAAATAAAACCTATATGTAAGCATCTAAATATTATTTCTAGTTTTCAGGAATTACAAAAAATAATTAATTACTAAATAATTATTTTTATTTCAAGTAGATAAAATATTACATGTCAGATAATCAAGAATGCTTTGAACACTTTTACTAAACGTTAAAAGGCCATAAGTGGAAGGGGAGAAATTTAGTATAAATTTTTTCAAAAATAAAAATGTTTAAATACATCAGTGGTGTCATTCATTATCACATTAAATAAAAAACGAATCCAAAGTGGAAGAGTTTTGTTTGCAATTATAAGAAGTGTATATATGTACCATAAAAATTCAGGTCTTCTGTTTTCCAGACCTGACAAATAAATAAATTATAAATTATAAAGTCAACATTAGCTAACAGTAATGTCTTTTGAAGTAAAGATTAAAGATTTAGCACATGAAAGAACTGCAGAAATTTTAGAAAACAGAGTGTTGCAGTTTGAAATTAATTTCACTGATTCACTTCAGTATAAAGAAATCATCATCTAATAAAAGAGAAGCAGAAAGCAATCCGACATTTTTTTTCTTGATACAAATATGTGGTTTGCAAGTTGATCACCAAAATCATTAACTGATATTTACTCCAAATATATTTCTATCCATAATAGCCTATGAAAGCCATGTCCTATAGTACATATGTGCAGCTATGCAAATAATACGTAAGTGCTAAAAATATACTTTTACATTATTAAAAAATCCAGTGTTCATGGATTCTAATATTTACCAGATATCTACCTGTATGGATAAAGACAGTACATCTATACAAAGTTTAACTTTTTCTTGAAGATAGAATAGTAACAATTCCCTCAGAAGCTACTGCTATCTTTAAGGCAATTTTCCCTGTATATTAAATGGCCTCTTACATGGAGTTTTACTTTCTCTCATTGAGTTTTTCTGTTGACTAATTTACTTTTGCATCCTCTGCTCCACTGTTACTTACTTATCTTTCTTACTATTCTATAATCTTCTTCCTCTTTTCACTTTATCCTTGGTAGAACTGAATTATGATAAGGGAAAAAAAGTTCACACATAAGGCATAGTTTAGGCATCGTATTTTCAAATAATTCTAGTTCTACTTTTTTCTCTTGGGAATAGTGCTGGCCTTTAGAACTGTAATGTAATGAAAAGTTGTGTTTCTAGAAATTTACCTGCTGAATTAAATGATGTAATATTGTGCTAATAATGGCATATATTAAAAGAAAAATTCATGCTCGTAACAAATATTTCACCAAGTATGATCAATACCTCTCCAGATATCCCAATGGATTCTTCTGCAGCTCCATATTGACCAATAGGCCCATTCTGCAGTCGTTCCAAAAGCTCCAATAAAGCAAAATTTTTTTTCAAGCCCCAGACACCTGAATCTCCTAGAATATAAAAACAAAAACTAAATCTAACAAAATGGACTATTAATCGTTTTACCCATACCTCAAAAGTAATTTCTAATCCATATAGTTCAGTCGTTAATGTCTAAATTTGAAAAATTCAAATTTTCCCCATTATTTGATACCAAAATAATTGCTTTGTTAATACTCTCTTTTAAAAAACAGAAGAATCCCTCAGGCTTCCAAGTAGAAACACACTTTAAAATTTATTATTTTTTGGCCAGGCGCATTGGCTCACGACTGTAATCCCAGCAGTTTGGGAGGCTGAGACGGACAGATCACTTAAGGCCAGGAGTTCAAGACCAGCCCGGTCAACATGGTGAAATCCTGTCTCTACTACAAATATGAAAATTAACCAGGTATGGCGTCAGGCGCCTGTAAACCCAGCCACTCAGGAGGCCGAGGGACGAGAATCACTTGAACCCGGGAGGTGGAGGTTGCAGTGAGCCAAGATCATAGCACTACACTCCAACCTGGGTGACACAGCAAGACTCTATCTCAAAAAAGAAATAAAAAAAAAAATCTAAATACACATTAAAAAAATTAAGGTGGTAAAGGCTGCACAACAATATGAATGAACTTAATGCCACTAAACTTAGAAGTAGTTAAAATGGCAAATTTTATGCTATATATATATTTTGCCACAGCTTAAAAAAGTTATTTAAATCTCTTTTACTTTTTTTTTTTTTGAGACAGAGTCTTGCTATGTCACCCAGGCTGGTGTGCAGTAGCACGATCTCGGCTCATTGCAATCTCCACCTTCTGGGTTCAAGCAATTCTCGTGCCTCAGCCTCCCAAGTGGCTGGGACTACAGGTGCATGCCACCACGCTCAGCTGATTTTTTGTATATTTTGGTAGAGACGGGGTTTCGCCATGCTGGCCGGGCTGGTCTCAAACTCCTGGCCTAAAGTGATCTGCCTGCCTTAGCCTCCGTGCCCAGCCTATTTCTCTATCAGTTAATTTTACAAGTCCTATTTTGTCACTGACTTTTACTATATATGCTAAAACAAGCATTTTCAAATACTTTTTGCAGCAACCTAACTTAAGAAATACATATAACTTTGTAACCCAGGACAACATACAAACTCTTCCTAAACCTATGAATAAAACTCAGATCTGTTAGCAGAAGGAATATTTGTTATGGTAAACTCCTATGCAACAAATACCACATACCATCTGATATAGCTGCCACCTAACACATATTCATTAAATGAATAAATATATAAAAGGTTGATGGAGTCATTGCCTGCAGGGCTCCCCTTCCTCTTGGCTCTTAAAAAAAAAAAAAAAAAAAAGCCATTCCATGTTGTGGTTCTCCCAAAAAAACTAGACTGAACATATTTATCCTCAGCCTTGCCCCAAGAAGGCTTTCTCCTTAATTTTTAACACATATTCTACAACAAGTTGAGTTCTCTCTATTTACATAAAGGTTAAGAAGTACACTAAGTGATCATTTAAAAATACAGTTGTGACAATTTTCTAAATATCCAATCATTATATAATGAATGCATACAAAAAAACTTCTAGCATTACTAGGTAGTGCCTAATATTTATCACTGAATTCTCTAAGTGTCAAAACAACTCCATAATCTCAATGGCTTAACACAACAGAGTTTTACTTTTTGCTCATGCAACATCTCAGGGGTTAGGGAAGACAAGAGAGACTGTTCTCCACTGACCACAAACAGGAACACAGGCTACCCAGCCTCCAATCATTTGGACCACCTCACTGTAGCAGGGAGAAGAATTTACTTTGAAAATCATAAACCTTCTCTTATCAACTTCTACCTGGATGCTAACACTTCACTTCTGCAAACAATTCACTGATCAATGGACATCACACAGTGATGTGTAAGAGGGCAAGGAAGTGTAATTTCACCATATGAGCAGAAGAAAATCAGCAATATTGCTGAACAGTATCAATAACTACTCATATTCTTCTTGTACTAGAGAGGAATTCTGATTCAGAATTCAGAGAAGTCAGAGAGGAGGATGGATGTATTCAGTCTAGTTCCGTGTCGTAAATTTCTAGTTTTGTTAAACATTGAGGTAGTAACTCTTCACACTGTGGTATTAATGTAGAGAAGGTAAAGTGCTCTTCAAAAAGGTAGAAGAATCAGGCGTGGTGGCTCACACCTATAATCCCAGCAATTTGGGAGGCCGAGGTGGGTGGATCACTTGAGGTCAGGAGTTCAAGACCAGCCAGGCCAACATAGTGAAACCCCATCTCTACTAAAAATACACAGATTAGTCAGGCGTGGTGGCAGGTGCCTGTAGTCCCAGCTATTCAGGAGGCTGAGGCGGAAGAATCACTTGAACTCTGGAGGTAGAGGCTGCAGTGAGCTGAGATTGCACCACAGCACTCCAGCCTGGGTGACGGAGTAACACTCTGCTTTAAAAAAAAAAAAAAAAAAAAAAAAGTAGAAGAAAGAAGAAAGGTTCTATCCTCTATTTGAAAAACATTACTATTTCTTTTACTTTTTTTTGTTTGTTTGTCTGAGACGAGTTTTGCTCTTGTCGCCCAGGCTGGAGGGCAATGGCGCGATCTAGGCTCACTGCAACCTCCATCTCCCAGGTTCAAGTGATTCTCCTGCCTCAGCCTCCCGAGTAGCTGGGATTACAGGCATCCACCATCACGCCCAGCTAATTTTTACATTTTTAGAAGAGAAGGGGTCTCACCATGTTGTCCAGGCTGGCCTTGAACTCCTGATTTCAGGTGATCCACCCACCTCGGCCTTGCAAAGTTCTGGATTACAGGTGTGAGCCACCTTGCCTGGCCTAAGTATAGTTTTATATAAAGAAATAGTATGATATATGCATATCTCAAAGAATAAAAGACCAAATAAAAGTACAGAAACTTTCCCAATCCCTACTTATTTCTTGGCTACTAGTAAGTTAACACTATCTATAATGTTATTATTGTCCTATATTAGTTGTCAGGCAAATAGACTATTTATATACATCAAAGATCACCAAAACCTTAAAAACCCTTCTTTCTCCAGAAAATATTTTAAAACCATGTTTCTTAGCATTTTAAAGTCTTCCAGCCTAAAATTATAGGTACTCTTGCTTCCTTTTTTGGTGGATAAATTATTTTTAATGTGTTCCACTTGAAAAATAGTATGAATATATTAAAATTGTCTTACATAGTGCAACTGACCTGAAAAAAAAAAAAATGGCAACCTTAAACTCTTTTGGAGAAAACTCCCTTATCAAAAAGAGTAAACTTACAAAACTTATGTTTGTAAAATCATTGTTCAAATGTTAGTAAATGCTATTATTTCCAAATCTGGTACCTGAAAATAACTTAGTTTGAAATATATAAAGCAAGTGTTAAAAGTATACAGAAAACCAAAAAAAAATCCACAAACCCTTCAAACTCATTTTAACAGAAAATACAGAGTAATTATCACAAGCTACAAACACTTCTGTCCTTGATATTAGTAAATAAAAACATGCTGAGACTCAATGACTTATCTGTATTTTCATTATTGGCTTATTTATTTGTAAAGAAAACATTGTTTTATTGGGTTAATGGCTTCAGGCAAATGATTCATTCTGTGATGCATATTCTTATTTATTTGAATCAGGGTAACATGTTTTTCTCAGGTGTCTTAAAGCTCTTTACAGGTAAGTATTGAATATAAACATCTCAGAAGACAAAATAAAATTAGTAACTAAGCGTGAGATAGTTTATAGCTTGAAGATTATTCACCTTAATAGAAACTCAGGCTTTCTGAAACTTTCTGGGAATTTTATCATTCTAAAAATCAAGTGGAAGGAAATTGTTTTCTATGACATTTGCATTACATGAACAATTTTCAATCTTAAATCCATACAAATACTTTTCCTACCTAGGTCTGTTACTTGTCGATCAAATGGGCAACGGATTGCTCTTCCATGAAGAGGTAGGCGAGTGAGACAGTCATGACAGACTGTATGGCCACAAAGCAAAAGGCGAGGAACTTTGTCTCCTTGCAAAGAAAAGACGTCTTCACAAACTCCACACTCTAGCACCTAATATTTGAAAACGAAGGATGTACTCTTTAAACCATTTTAAAAGCATACATATTTTAGGTATATAAGAAAATTCACCTAATATATTGAATCAACATTGTTACTTTATTCCTCCATGAAAAAGAACTATGTAAGTTGTAAAATCTTAAATCACTTTTAAGTCATTCCATCTGACAGACCCTGCCAAAATTATATCGTAACGAAATATCTTTGAAATACTAATAGTAGTGTTAGGGGCAAAGATGCTGTAAACTAACATCTTCATTATCTTTTGAAAATTATGATTTCACTCATTACATCTGAATCTGTACAAACAATATGTAATTCTACTGAAGGCGGGTTCTTAAGCAATTTCTCTGCAACTACCTAACCCATCATTAATTTCAACACAAATAAACTATCATTAATTTCAACAAAAATAATCTAAAATATGTGCTAACAATTACCCCTGTTAATGATAAAGAACTTGTTAAGAAAAGACTACAACTAACTTTCATGTTTCTGGTATCTAATGTACATTAAATAATACAAAGTCAAAAAAGCAGTCACCTTAAATTTCAATTCCTGTGCTCTATCAATAAATATAGCTCTGAATCAGAAATTAGTTTGTCTATCTAATTCTAGTTACAGACACATGACTTGCACAAGGCTACACAGTCAGTCAAAAGAAAGGCTATTTATCAGCATATTCTGATTCTCAAGTCCATATGTTTATGTTTTATAAATAGTCAACAAATTGTATTTATAGCAATAAAGCATTTTCAGCACTTATTTCTAAGTATATTTGTAGTGTTTCATTAATTTTTTTAAAATACCCACTGTACTATTCAATCATACCTCAAACTCCTGTCATTCAAGACCCACTACAATCTGGTCCCTGTTCTACTGCTTCACTGCCACACTCTTCTGACCCTGTGCTCCAACTATATCCAACAGCTTATAGTTCTCAGAACATGAGAAACTGTTTCATGTTTCTTCATGCTAATACTGAGGAAAGGACTATACTTGTCCTTTGGGCCCCCAAGTACTCTGTATAAGTGTCTACCATAACACCCAAAATGCTTTAATACCTTGGTTTTCTAGTCTGTCTTTCCCTGTTGGACCAAAAAACCCTCAGGAACAGGGTATTTTAAATACCAAGTTCCTAGTGCTTACATAAAGTCTAGTAAAATAATTTAAAAACAATTAAGCTCAACATCATCAAACACACAACACAAGGTAAAAAACAGAAAACCCAAGGCAGAAATCAGACTAAATCTACTACGATTTTAAACCTAACTCTGTAATTAACTTGGACTTTGGGCTTGAGATACAAATATCTTTCACCATGAAGTGATAATTCATAATTGCTTTGTATATTATTATGGTTCAAAAGAAATTTAAATTTAGTCTTTCAATGTAAATAAGGGTTTGGGAAGAGAAAAATAAATAAAAATAAGAAACAAAAAAAATTGTTCACAGAAAAGACGATGAAAATTCTTTACATGAAAAGATGTTCAATCTAACTCATAACAAGAAAAATGCAAATTAAGGCTAGGCACGGTGGCTCATGCCTGTAATTCCAACACTTTGGGAGGCCGAGGCAAGTGGATCATCTGAGGTCAGGAGTTCGAGACCAGCCTGGACAACACGGTGAAATTCCTTCTGTAGTAAAAATACAAAAAAATTAGCCAGGCATGGTGGTGGGCGCCTGTAATCCCAGTTTACTCAGGAGGCTGAGGCAGGATAATCGATTGAGCCTGGGAGGCGGAGGCTGCACTGAGCCAAGATCACAGAGTGAGACTCGGTCTCAAAAAAATAAAGAAACAAAAAAATGCAAATCAAAGCTACATCAAATACTTTTTTTTTCAGATTAGATCAAAAATGTTGGTAACACTTTGTTAGTGAAGGTGTGGGAAAGCAGACACTGTCATACATTACTAATTGCTATGAAATGTTTATTGAGCAATACAGCTTTTATGAAGGGCAACCTGTCAATACTTACCAAGTTTAAGTAACTCAGTAATTCTAGTTGCAGGAATTTATCCTACAAGCATATTAGACATGTGTGACAAAATCTGTATGTTAGTCCTTAAAGCATCATTTGCATTAGCAAAAAATTGGAAACAAAGTAAATACACATCAATATCAGCTTGGAAAATAAATTATGGCACATTCATAATACTATAAAACTATATAGGATAGTGAGAAAGATGACGTTTTTCATGTACACACAGAATGATTTCATATGATTAAAACAAAAATGATAAATAGAATATACTCATTTTTGCATAAAGGTGGGGAAAGAGCAAATTTTTATATTGTTGTATAAACGTACTGTCTTCCTGGAAGGATACATAGGACACCAGTAACACTGGAACATCGGTTCCCCATGAGAAAGAGAAACAGCTAGGGAACAGCTACCCATGTATAATTCTATCTATTATTCATATATACACATACTTCAATTCATCCTACATTTTTTAAAAAGGGGAAAGTTTCACGTTATCAAATCCATTTAGGTCAGGCACCGTGGCTCACACCTGTAATCACAGCACTTTGGCACACCAAGGCAAGAGGACTGCTAGAGGTCAGGAGTTCAAGACCAGCCTGGGCAACACAGTGAGACCCTGTCTCTACAAAAAAATAAAAAACTGAGGTGGGAGGATCACTTGAGCCCAGGAGGTTGAGGTTGCTATGAGCCATGATTGTGCCATTGCACTCCCACCTGGGTGACAGAATGAGAACCTGCCTCAAAAAAAAAAAATTCAATTAAATATAGAAAAAATATTCACAGGCCAGGCGCGGTGGCTTATGCCTGTAATCCCAGCACTTTGGGAGGCCGAGGTGGGTGGATCACGAGGTCAGGATATCGAGACCATCCTGGCTAACACAGTGAAACCCCATCTCTACTAAAAATACAAAAAATTAGCCGGGCACGGTGGTGGGCGCCTATAGTCCCAGCTGCTTGGGAGGCTGAGGCAGGAGAATGGCATGAACCTGGGAGGTGGAGCTTGCAGTGAGCCGAGATTGTGCCACTGCACTCCAGCCTAGGCGACAGAGCAAGACTCCGACTCAAAAACAAAAAAAATCACAATAGAATTTGATATAAAATAAATGCAACATTTTATAAATGCTGTATTAAAACTCTAATAAATTAAATTTGTTTATAAACTCCAAAGAACCATATTAAAATTTTGTTTAGTTCATTTCAATCCTGTATCTCTGATCCCACCACTGTACAAGATTTAAAAGAATTTCCTTATGCTGTTACCGTATTTTTCAAAAAGCACTAATAAAATTCCATTGATTAGCAAACCAAACACAGGTCCGAAAATAAAGTTACTAGACTATTTTGCATCAACTTGGTAAATAATACAGCAAGAAAATATTTCCTCAGTATCTATGAAAAGGAATTGTGGTTAACAGCAAAAAGCCCTAGATAGGAAAAAGCTCTTAATTTTACATTTCACAAAATGCCAAAACAGCTTCAAACTTATTACATGTAAATCAAACTGTAATCAATCAGATTTTATATATATATATATATTTTTTTTTTTTCTTTTTTTTGAGAAAGGGTCTCACTCTTTCTCAAAAAAAAAAGGGTCAGCCAGGCTGGAATGTAGTGGCCTGAGCATGGTTCACTGCAGCCTCGACCTCCCAAGCTCAAGCAATCCTCCTGCCTCAGACTCCCAAGTAGCTGGTACCACAGGCATGTGCCACCATGCCTGGCTAATTTTTTTAATTATTATTTGTAGAGGTTGGGTCTCACTATGTTGCCGAGGCTGGTCTCAAACTCCAGGGCTCAAGCAATCCTCCCACCTTAGCCTCCCAAAGTGCTGAGATTAAAGGTGTGAGCCACTGTGCCCAGCCTCAGCCTAAATTTTAAAAGGCCTAAGAAGACTCACTAAGCAAAACAAACTGTGATACATTTTTACATGTCAGTTATTTCAAAATATCAGATTTTTTATTTTTTATTTTTCAGATGGAGTCTCACTCTGTCACCCAGGCTGGAATGTAGTAGCACAATCTCGGCTCACTGCAACCTCCCCCTCCTGGGTTCAAGTGATTCTCCTGATCAGCCTCCTGAGTAACTGGGATTAACAGGCCCACACCACAATGCCTGGCTACTTTTTGTATTATTAGTAGAGACAGGGTTTGGCCATGCTGGCCAGGCTAGTCTCAAACTCCTGACCTCAAGTGATCAGCCCACTTCGGCCTCCCAAAGTGCTTCCCAGGCACTTTGTGCTTTACAGACGTGTGCCACCGCGCCTAGCCATATCAGATTTTTATGTTACTGGTTTCTCTAATGATAAAAACCATGTAATTATCAACTTGTTCACAAGCACAAGGCCATTTTACACAGTATTAGCATTATATACTTCAATTTTTACCTTCCAATAAATACTTATTGCTTTCATCTATACAAATGACAGTAAGGTTTTTTTCAGTTTATACCCCTATAGCTACTACAAATTATGGCATGAAGATTTTGTCAGAAAGGACTATTTTATTGCACAGTTCAGGAACATTTTACATGTTAAGATGAAAATGAACAAGGTGAGCCTCTGATGTATCAAATTCTGTGCTGTAACAAACTGGAGTTACATCAGGCTTTGGTACACTTTTGAGACTATAAGGCAAACAGCGTAACAACAAAATAGATACTGCAATGATACCCCTTCCAATTATGAAATAAAACTTAAACTTCAAGTTAATTCACAAAGTACTCTGCAAGTATTCTCTACTTAGCAAAAGCACAATTCAATAAATAAAATCTCAATCACACAACATGCCTAATAACGAGGGCTCTTTTGCGTTATCAGATATGCTGTGCACCTGTAGAATAACTTCATTACTACCTAAAGGTCATCTGAATCAACGACCACCAATACTGACTGATACTAAATTGTGGGAAGAAATGTCTCACTTGCTGTCATACAAAACCAACATTAACTGAATAATCGTAGGTGTCTATTTTTCAAGACGTTAAAAGAACTTCATATATTATCCTGTTCGGTAATTCTTAACCCTGGTTACATATTAAAATAACTTATGGGCATTCCTAAAATCTACTGTTGTTGTCAACCTCATCAGAACTGGAGGAGGAGTGCATCAGTAGTGTACTAAAAATCTTCAGTGATCCTAATATGTAGCCAGGAATGAGAATTTTCAATCTCTTAGATTAGAGATGCTCCCGAAGGTTACTCTATAAAACCAATGAGATCAGTTCTCCCCTCCAGATCTCTCCGTGCACAAGTGTGGAAGGGAAAAATGACTGCCACATATTTCAAATGATTTTTTAGCAAATTCATTCTGGAGCATTTATACATGGTAGAATCTCAAACTTCAAGCATAAGGAAATTCATTAACTCTATCGTTAACGCCCAGCTATGACGATGTTGCAGACTTCTGAAAAGTGTTAATAGACTGTACTACTAACAGGAGAGAGGGCAGCTCAGCCAGTAACAGATGTCTCATTACAGACGCAGTACAATAGGGAAAAGCATAGGCTTTAAAGCCGGTCAACCCGGGGCTCTGCCACACACTGTGTTTACCTAAACCTGGATTTCCTCCCTGTAAAATGGGAATTAACATCTACTTCATAAGTAGATATTAACGAGCTAAAACACCTAACGTAGTACGTAGTTACGATGACGATGGGCCAATTTATAATACTAAGCTAACTAATGCCTGTTGAGTTTAACTAAAAGCAGAGGACCTGGAGAAAAGACCGGTCTAGGTCACTGGACCGCAAGCTCCTTTTCATAAATGTTCCGATTATGACATGTCATGAGCAGAAGACCAGGCAACTTCAGGCCATAGGAGAGAAAGGATGCAGAGGAGAGGACAAGACTTGTAAAGCCAAAAGGGGCCCAGAGGCCGCGCATCCCACCCATCGAAGCCTGGGCCGTGGCGATGCAGCCAGGTCTCCAGGATGAACCGAAGGGAGGCCAATGGTGGAGAACAGAGCACGCAAGGTCCCTCACCTTCACTACAGCTGTCCCCCGGCTGCCCTGCCGGCCACTGTCTACTCCCGCTCCAAGCTTGTTTACAACCAGAGTAGCCATCCTCGTAGGAGTAGCGCCACAGATGCAGCCTTCAGAGTCCTCAACTGAGAGGCGGGGTTAAGCCACCTACCCAGAGGCCTCTGCGCACGCCACCGGCGCACAGGCGCAGTAGGACACAGGGCGCCGCTTAGCCGACTCTTACTCCTCCTCCCTGCAGTCGTGGGGTACTTCGTTGCACAGCCTCGCTCATGGGCACTTTTGTTATTTTTCATTACGTAGTCTGCAACTGCTGGAGGAAAGACAAGGGAAAAAAAAAAAAAGAAGGGATAAAACAGAATTAAAGTTTTGGGGTGAAACTCCAGCTCCTTTAATGATTTTTCCTCTCGAATCGCAAACCAACCAGGGTGTAAACTGAGGGCGGTGAAGGGATACGGGCATCTCCCTGCATGCAACGCGATTTTCGTATAAACTACAAATCCCAGCATGCCACTCTCTCTTTTATTTATTTATTTTTTTTAAACTCCGGCAAAGTTGGCCTTTGGGAGGCGGCGTATTGTAACCGAGGGGTGGTTTCTTTTCCTGAAGTCGCGATGTGCGATAGCAGATGGAAAACAAAGTGTTTTATGCATACGTTTCTAAGATAAAAGAAATGGACTTGGTGAGAAGAAGCCAGTCTGTAAAGAACACAGTAAGAAAATTTAAGGTACCACCACCGGAGAGAAGTTGAAAGTGCGTTTGACTTCTGGTCTTGCCAAACGCGAGGTTTTCCGTTTCCTTCCGGGCCAAGTTGAACCTGTCCAGCCCCCGTAGGCCGTGGGTCAAAAGTGCTGGTCAAAATGGAAGTGAATCCCCCTAAACAGGAGCACCTGCTGGCGCTGAAAGGTAAACTTTTGCGAACCTGAGTACCCGTTTTCTGTTTTCTTCCCTTCCCTATTTATCGAAGCCTTTGCCATGTAGGCCTCAGCCTTCTTAAACACCGTCAGTGCTCGCCCTCCTGCTCTGTCCTTTGGCGCCAGGCGGGAGGAAGCGATTTCGCCTGGATGCTTTTTAGGTTTACGGGCTCCTTTCTAGAATGAAATAGATACCTGGTAAATCACTCTTTCTGATCTATGCTGCTTCAGTCACGAGATTTTAGCGGCAGAAGCTGACGTCCCGCTCCTACCGTGGAGATCTCTGTGAACTAAGATGAATTACAGCGGGCATGTAAAGTGCTTTTTCCTTCTGTCTCTCGTTTCTTCCTGTGGCACTGACGAAGTTATCAGGCTTCAGTTTCCCCTGTAAAATTAGTATTGCATAACAGTAGTGCAAAGAATTTAGCAATATATAGTAATACAACATATAACTTAGATTTATTAAAAACAAACTGCAGTTTACTTCAAAGCACTGTGTATGTGGGAAATATGTCCGAGATCTAATGTCAACTCTCATTTTTTGTACACAGCCATTTTGAGTAAGTTTGGTGATTTAATTAAATCTTTATTTAGGAAAAAACAGCAGGCTTTTTTTTTTTAGGACAATTTTTTTTTTTATTTATTTTTAATGCCTATTTTCTGGAAATCTTTTTATTTGAAATCTTTTCAGCTTTATTTTATTTTTTACTACAACAAATGCACTTTTTGTTTCTTGGATGCTCTAACACGGGGTTAACAATGACTTATTGAATGAGCTGAGGAAATGCTCAATAAACATTTGGGTTCAATTGAATTGCACTTATTTTACTTGTGGCATCCATTTTGAGGAACACATCCTTCCCATTATGATGTAGTCATCAGACATTCTAGAAGCTCATCAGTCTCATATAATGATGCCTGTGTTAGCGAGATTGTCTCTTACTGTGGAACTTTGTAATGTTAAGTTATACAGTGATGGGACCTCTAAGCTTAACCTGAGCAAATGATCTAGGCTAAAATGGAGACTAAAATGGATTGTTACTCGTGGAGAAGAGGGAAAAGAAGAAAAGCAACTAATTGTCATGTTCTTTATCTCGCGATCTCACTTCAAGTATGTGGAGTAAATATTAATTCTTAGAGTTTAAGCAACTTTTCCAAGATCACATAGCTAGTAAGTGATTGAGGCAGTGTTTCAACGCAAGGCCTACCTCTCTCTTTCCAAGAGTTCATGTTGCCTCCTAATGAATGAAACGGCATTCTCAGAAATAATTCCTCTACCAACTACTCTGATGGGAATTTGGAACAGTTCTATTAGCTGCTACGTGTGATTTATACAAATTAGAAGCTATTAAAAACAGTTGAATTCCAGCTGGGCGCGGTGGCTCATGCCTGTAACCCCAGCACTTTGGGAGGCCGAGGCGGGTGATGACGAGGTCAGGAGATCGAGACCATCCTGGCTAACACTGTGAAACCCCGTCTCTACTAAAAATACAAAAAATTAGCCTGGCTTGGTGACAGGCACCAGTAGTCCCAGCTACTAGGGAGGCTGAGGCAGGAGAATGGGGTGAACCCGGGAGGTGGAGCTTACAGTGACCCGAGATCGCGCCACTGCACCCTAGCCTAGGTGACAGAGCCAGAGACTCCGTCTCATAAAACAAACAAACAAAAAGTTAAATTCCAGTGATACAGAGACTGCCACTGAGAATTTTTAGTTTTCTGTTATTCTTTGTTTTCCAAAATAAAGGATACCTAAGAAAGAATATTTCAGCAGCCTAAGCCAGGCGTGGTGGCTCATGCCTGTAATAGCACTTTGGGAGGCCGAGGCTGGCAGATCACTTGAGGTCAGGAGTTTGAGACCAGCCTGGCCAACATGGTGAAAACCCGTCTATACTAAAAATACAAAAATTAGCCAGGTATGGTGGTGGACATCTGTAATTCCAGCTACTCGGGAGACTGAGGCAGGAGAATCGCTTTAACCTAGGAGGCAGAAGCTGCAGTAAGCTGAGATTGTGCCATTGCACTCCAGCCTGGGTGACAGAGTGAGACCCTGTCTCAAAAAAAAAAAAAAAAAAGAATAAACAGCCTAAACTGGTAAGTGCTTTAAAATTGATAGTTTCAACTTTATTAAACCTCTTTGGTACCATCTTCTAGTTAACCCATTGTTCTAGTTGATCAACAGTTTTCACAGCATTTCAATTTACTGATGCTGGATGCCAAATGTATCAATTTAAGTGGTCATTTAGGTTCACTTTATCTTTTAATATGTAAAATGTTAAAGATAATATTTTGTTATTCTTGGTTGGGTGAGGTGGCTGATCACTTGAGTTCAAGAGTTCGAGACCAGCCTAGCCAATATTATGAAACCCCATCTCTGCTGAAAATACAAAAATGCCAGGCGTGATGGTGTGCACCAGTGGTCCCAGCTACTCGGGAGGCTGAGGCACAAGAATCACTTGAACTCTGGAGGCGAAGGTTGCTGTAAGCCAAGATCGTACCTCTGCACTCCAGCCTGGGTGACAGAGTGAGAATCTGTCTCAAAAAAAAAAAAAATTGTCTCTTGAGTATAACACTGATTGACTTTAGACAAGAGAATTACTCGATGCCATATTTTACAATGTGAAAGTGTAAGGAACAGGGAAGAAAAACATGAGTGCATTATTCTTGAAAGAATATGTGATAACATTTAGATCCGTATTTAAAATTATGGATGTTAAAGATCACAATTATTTATGAATTTGAGAGTTGTCAGATCTGTTAGTGGGCAGTATCAGTAGGTAAAAAGAATCATGAAATTAGTTATTCTTCTGACTCTAGAATCGGACAGTGATTCTATTGTGACATCATGACAAGAGTCCATACTCATGGTTATCCTAGCAGTGGGAGAACCCTCATCAAGTAATTCTCTAATGATTTTGGGGGAGAAGTGATTCAACTTATTTTTTTCTGCAGTTAAGATGTGAAAAAGCCTGTTTTATGGCTCCTACTGCTTTGGGTCTGATTAGGAAGCCTAACTTGCAGATATTGGAAGGCTCTATTCTTAAGCCTATGTACCATATATCGGAATTTATTATCAGTGACTTAATTTGGGGCAACTTGAGGACTTCTGTGCTCTAAGAGAAAAAAATAGGAGTCTAGACTTCTTGTTCTCCTCCAAATTGGAATTCAAAAGCCATGGTATTAGGGTCCCCATGCTGTTTAATTGCCTGGGTTATGAGGAGAAGACAGTGTCACAAAACTGGTTCTTAGCCTGGTTAAACCATATTAGCAAAGTTAAACCATATGCATGGTTTTAGTTTTTACTGTAGAGAATGACATGAAATCATCAAATATTCTATCTATATATTTGTTTGGTGGAATCCATATAATTTTTTTTTTGAGACAGAGTCTTACCCTGTCACCCAGGCTGGAGTGCAATGGGAGTGCAGTGGTGCGATCTCAGTTCACTGCAAACCTCCACCTCCCGGGTTCAAGTGATTCTCCTGCCTTAGCCTCCCGAGTAGCTGGGATTACAGGCACAGGCCACCGCAGCCGGCTGTTTTTTGTATTTTTAGTAGAGATGGGGTTTCACCATGTTGGCCAGGCTGGTCTCAAACTCCTGACCTCGTGATCTGCCCACCTTGGCCCCCATAAAGTGCTGGGATTACAGGTGAGCCACCACACCTGGCAGATCTATATAATTTTAAGTATAAAATGATTACTTTTCTTCCAGACAGATTAGAATTTTTTTTTTCTTTTTTTTCTTTTTAATGAGATGAAGTCTTGCTCTGTCGCCCAGGCTGAGTGGCACGATCTCAGCTCACTGCAACCTCTGGCTCTCAGGTTCAGGGTATTCTCCTGCCTCAGCTTCTCTAGTAGCTGGGACTACAGGCATGCACCACCACACTCCGCTAATTTTTTTTTTGTATTTTGAGTAGAGACAGGTTTTTACCATGTTGGATTAGAACTTACAGTGATTTTATTGTCCTCAATTTAGTTGCTTCAAATTTTTAAATATTACATTTTTTGTTAATTTTCTTCATATGAAAACAATATTTTAAGATTCATTTACTCTTTGTTTCTGCTAAAGTTTTAAGACTTATTACTTAATATAGTAATATTGATACTTCCAAGTCCTTTATATCTGTTGAGTTAAACATGTTGACTACTAGCATTTTTAGGCTGGAAGTGATTTTATAGGGCATCTAATTTAGATTCCTTATTTTG